ACGTATGAAAATTTCACACATCCTACATTTAAGGCAGCAGCAACAGCACGAGGATTAATATTGGATGATATGGAATGGCAGCGAGCCTTACAAGAGGCCTCTTCTTTTCAAATACCATACCAGCTTCGACAGTTGTTTGCCTACATCTGTATATTTCAGTGTCCATCAAATGTTCTGAATTTGTGGAATCTCTTTAAGGACTCAATGTCTGAAGATTTCCTTAGATCATACCCGACCGAAGTAGCTTACCAATTAGCTCTGAAAGATACTTCAGAAACGTTAAAATTACATGGTTTCTCTCTGAAGTCATTTGATTTACCATCTATTGATGAATTGCCTCAAAATACATGTATAGAGGAAACTATAGATGAAATCCAACATGATGAACTAGCGAAAATGATCGCTTCATCAAATGAAGAACAACGTGTTGTGATTGATGAAATTCTAAAATTACTTCTAAACAATGATGAGTCTGCAAGTGTTAAGGCATACTTCATAGATGGACCTGGTGGCACCGGAAAAACATTTGTATATAAATGCTTAATCCAGAGCTGCATTAATATTGGAATGCCAATCATATCCGTTGCATGGACTGGGATTGCTGCTATGTTACTTCCCTTTGGCCGCACAGTTCATAGCCGATTTAAATTACCACTGAATTTGAATGAACATTCTGTCTCCGGCTTAAAAGTCAACAGTAAAGAGGCTTCTATCATTCGTTCTGCAAAATTAATAATTTGGGATGAAGCACCTATGGCCAACAAATATGCTCTAATGTGTGTCAATCGGCTACTGAAAGATATAATGGATAACGATGTGCCATTTGGTGGGAAAATCATTATCTTAGGTGGAGATTTCCGGCAAGTGTTGCCGGTTGTGCCTCATTCATCTAGAGCCTCTACTGTTCAGAATTCAATTAAGTTTTCATACCTATGGCCACTATTCAAAATTTTTAAATTAACAAAAAATATGAGGGCTAAAACTAATGAGTTAGATTTTGCTAACTTTTTGCTCGAAATTGGCAATGGGGAATACCCAACAATTGATGACAAATCTGTGGACTTACCCCCACCACTTATCTCTGATTCAGACATAGTTTCAGAAATTTATGGAAAAAACCTACAAACGCCTATGGACTCATCGTACTTATCAAAATGTGCCATTTTAGCACCAAAGAATGAGCATTGTGAGGAAATCAATAAAAGAGTTTTAGACCTCATCCCAGGCTCAAGCAAAACATATATAAGTGTGAATAAACTAATTACAGATGATGACAGTGAACTATTGCAATTCCCTATTGAATTCCTCAACAGCCTTGAGATGACTGGTTTGCCTTCTCACAAATTAGTCTTAAAGGAAGGTGCCATTGTGATGTTATTAAGAAATTTAAACTACACAGCAGGTCTTCTAAACGGAACAAGACTTATTGTCAAGAAAATGTATGAAAACAGTTTAGACTTAGAAATCATAACTGGCACAAATATTGGACAACGTGCACTATTACCCCGCATTGATCTCTCTCCATCAGATTCTACAGTACCATTTTCTTTCAAACGAAGACAATTCCCCATAAAGGTTGCGTTCTGCATGACCATCAACAAGGCGCAGGGCCAAACGATTGATCGAGTTGGTGTGTACTTGCCTGAACCAGTATTTACTCACGGTCAGTTGTACGTCGCCTTATCGAGAGGGAAATGTTTCGATACTGTAAAAGTAGAAACTAAATCAAAAGGTGGACGAACAGCAAACATTGTTTGGAAGGAAGTATTATAAAAGTCGTAATATTAATAAAGATTACCAGATGGAGGGAACTACTCCTGAGAATATGCGTACATGCAATTCTACCGACAGAGATGTCTATTTTACAAGAAATATTGTTGTTAATAAAACATTCTTAATAAAGCCTCATTCACGCTGTGTTACATATGAGTTAACAAATGTACGTGCTTTCTCTGTAGGTGCTTTTAGGAAGTGTGGATATTGTTCTGGATTAATTGATTTTCAAAACGGAAAAAAATACATCGGGACGATTTTCTCTGTGTTATATGGAATGTGTTATACTTTAATTTGGTCATAAGGCGAAATTAATCCAGCAGCCCTATAAGAGTTTAATTAAAGTTGTACCGCCCTTATTAAGTTTAGTATTTTATTTTTTTATTATTAATTTCAATGCTGCGGAGCAGCACGGGTCATCTAGTAATGTATTATTGTTACCAGTATTTTATCATTATTAATGATTTAGGCCTATATTTCGCCGTTTAGAAATTACATAATAAAATGGTGCTATTCTAACATAACCTAACCTAACCAAACCTCTAGAATATAAGCAAACTCCTTTTGATGTCAGAAAAGGCATGTCAGGGTGATAGGTCGTGCTTTATGTGAATTTGGTGACTGCATTAAGTCCTTTGAAGGTAGGTTAGATTAGGTAGGTAAGTTAAAGTTTAGGTTATAATGTATCAAGTTGTTAGTTTATGTCGCCTGCAGACTGTTTTTGTAAAATTAAAATCCAGAAAAAAACACTTCAAATTACGAATTACTGCAGGCAACATAAACTAACAACTTGATACATTATAACCTTAACTTTACCTTCCTAATCTAACCTAACTTCAAAACACTTAACGCAGTCACCAATTCACATACAGCACGACCTACCACCCTGACATGCCTTTAAATAAGAACTACATGTAATTAGTCCACCAGTCCATCTAGATCTTCATAATGTGACGAAATTCCTATTATAGAAAACATTATTGACTACAGAATCACTTGAAATGTTATTGTAATCACTACCTTGTTTATTGTAATGTTGTATGTTTTTACGGCGATATCTTGAGAAATATTCATCAGCGGTGAAAAATAATGGTAGGCTATATTTGGATTCAGGAGGTAAAAAACTATAAAGTAAGATATCAAAATTAAAAATTCGTTTGGAGGCACCTATACGGAATAAATACCAAAAAATCATTATATTATATTTTTAAGTCTAAGAAGTACAAAGTGAAATGATGAATGCTATCTGACTGTTATTATACTGTTTATGAATAATGTTAACGATCCGTATGAACTTGTACGGAGCGAGTATGAGGATGAGCCTACTGCGTTGTCTGTCTGTCGTCGATGAGTCACTAGGATGACGCCGGCGCGGTGTCAGAACACTTTCAACCCCCTCCCGGCAACCACCTCCGCACACCATCCCTCACACCAGTCACCACACACACACACATACTACAAACACAACACTAACACATCGACGCTCGCTGGTCTGACCCATCGATATACAACACGTCTGACCTTGACTAACTGCGTATGTTGTGCACTAGTGTAGTTGACAACAGTTCATACTCAATGTCAGTTGACAATCAATGTAAAAACCACTCTCTTGTAAAATGGCATTTGCCATGCATGTAATTAACAAATAAATAAAAAATACTTCATTCTATTTGTAATCAGTGGTTCAGGACACAAAATGTGGTTGCGGTGCAGTTTCTTTGCGTGTTACTAGCAATATTATTTTCGTGAATGATTTCGTTTTCAAATAAACTATTTGTCTTTGAAAATACGTACCGTACTGTATTAAATTATTTACCACATATCTAGGCCTTAGTACATTGAACTTGAGGTTAAGCATTTTAAGATCTAAATACTGTAGTATTAATGTATTGTACCGATGGACAGACCACACATTTTTTAAGAAGATTTGTAAGGAATTGGTTTCAGTCCAATTGAAGGGGGGCGGGGGGCGCCAAAATAGGTGTTTACCCCGGGTACTGAATAGCCTAGTTACGTCCCTGGTAGGAACTAACTGTACACTAAGAGCTACTTAGAATTGACCAGTATGTAGTCTCCAGGGGCTGTATTTTACCACAGAAGAGGCTGAGTCACATCATGTTTCATCTGCTAAAGGGATAGAGGAATGTATGCACCACTCAAAACTACATATTTAAACATGATCGGGGATACACAATTTGCTTAGAGATAAAATAGAAGCTCAAGAATTAGTCTTTAGAATGTTTGTTTAGGTGTTTTATAAATCTCTAATTTACCCTATTTTTTTTTTAATTTGTAACCACAACAGTGTTTTTAAATATACATTTATCCCTTTAAAACAAGATTTTGCCTTTGTTCTTGCAGGATTTTAAAAGTTTCCTCCAATATATTTCGCCACAGTGTGTGGCATCTTCAGGGAGAAGTTATTTACAGTACATATTATATGTACACACGCACGGCACGACATAGAGTTCATATCGCTGCATCTTCACGAGCGCAGGAGCAAGAAGATTTTTTAACTCCCGCCGGACACTGCTGCAGTCACAGGTTTTTCCCAAATTGTTATTTAAGTTAGACAATGTCCACTAAAATATGTGTTTATTGTTGAAGGAATAAAGGGTTTGTCTATTGTCTATATAGATTTTTCATCATCTAAATGGGGCCGGTCCCAGTGGATCCGGGATTAGAGTTCTACTGAACTGAAAACAGACACTTTTGCTGCAGCATGACAATGGTTATTTGTGCAACTAGTAAGAAAAGTGAGCAATTGACTTACTCGAGAGAAATCCTTACTCACGAGCCGTAGGCGAGTGAGGAATGGTTTCTCAAGTGAGGCAATTGTACTTTGAACTCGAGTTGCACATTATACTTTTCCTACAGTTACCATAAAACAAATAAATTTGTGAAGAAACATAACCTATTTTTACACAGAAGTGAACTTTTAATATAACATTTAATGTGAAGTGACAAATACAACAGTACAACAGCTGACCAGCTGATTTACAGCCAGTGCTGCCAACGTATTTCGCGCGCATACGACGTTGCCTGGATGTTACGCGCTCACTATTTCGTGCCTTCACGTTGCAAATCTGGAGTGAGACAAAGTAATTAGAGTGAGACAATGTTAACATTGTCTCACTGATGAGCGAACTGGCCACTTTGCTTTCTCAAATCAGTGAGAGAACATGTACATTGTTAGGTAACTGTAGGAAAAATAGTGTTTTTAATACCTTGTGACATATGTAAAGAGACAGCCTCCTTTTCTTGTTTGCACAAGTCCAAGAACTGGCTGCCTACATTATCTAGAATGTATTTGGCACTTTTCATGTCCAGTTGAGGGTATGGTTTGTTTAACAAGGGCTGCCACAGTGCGAGGTCATCCTGAGTTGGGTCTGAGTGAGGGTCCAAGAACCCCGCTGTAGACAAGAAACCCTTGGCGGAGTACCTAAAATAAATGAAACATAGTTTCCATCTTTAGGTGTGTTAGTTATGTATTAGAGAAGAAAAATTACAGGACACTTGTAGGATAAATATACTCTCTTATAGCTAGCTCATTTGCCGTGTTAGTGCATAGAAATAACAATACCCAAACAACAACATTTTGTCAAGTAGGCTAAGCATTTTGGAAGTTTTTGTTGCCACACACAACTCAATTCTTTAATCTTTAAACTCTTTAATAAGAGGACAAAGTTATTAATACCAATCAGAAGTTAGCAGCAAATATGTGCAGTGGAGTCTTATACTTTGGAGTGGTGAGTGACACCTCACAACTTTTGTGAAGGATTGGCTGGTAGTGGTATGCACTACAAGTAAGCCAGAATGAGAACAGTGGTCATCAAACAGTTGACTCTGGGCTATATCAGTAGCTTGTGGGGTAATTTCAGGTGTAGCTCAAACTGACCAACAATTCTAAAATTTAAAAAATGTTTTGCTCGAGGCACAATCCACCAACTCTCCTTTTTTAGGGATTGATGGTGAAGATTTCTCAAATATATATAGGTATATATAGGCCCTAAAGTATTAAAAATTATTGGGTATTCTTTTCCGAGTCGGTTTGGCTCTTCTACACGACTGATTTTCATAATTTTGGACTTAAATTAAAGTTGTTTAAATCTACGGCTTACATTACGATCCAATTTATTTATTAGTGGAGACATAGGTTTTTATTTTTGTATTTTTTATTATTTATCATCCAAAATAAATTGGATTGTTAGGTAAGAAATAAAAACAATAAAAGTTGGATAAAGAAATTAGTTTTATTTTATTTAACAAAGCCCATGTTATGAGAAGAATGAGAATTATTTGTTGTTATTCAATAATAAACAACACATGTTCTTAAAAAATATTAATCCCAACTCAACTCACAGGCTCTCAGGTTTAAAATTTTTTTTTTATTTGCCCTCAAACCTGAGAGGTTCAAAAGTTCCTTCAGTCGACTAGAAGGTAAACTCTTCGTCAAGTCTGCCAACTGAAGTCTTCCAGGTACATGTCCATTTTGTAACATCCTTTGTTGAAGTGCTCTCTAACAAAGTGGAATTGAAAACTGATGTGTTTCGTTCTTCCATGCGTTGAAGGATTGTGTGGTAATTGTACTGCACCAGCATTGTCAATGTACATGGTTGCTTCTATCGATGAACTGCTGATTTCTTCTAACAAGCCTTTAAGGTTGTGCTTTGGCTTTTACAATTTTTGTTTTGATACTGAAATTAAGTCAGATATTACTTTAAGTGTAATAATAAACGGGAAAAAAATTAAAAAAAAAATTTTTGACCAGTTTTTAGTGGTTTTTAGATGTTAAAAATAGCGAACTTCGGACCGGAATTACTGGATCATTGTTTCGTATTTTGTAAATATGTTAAATGTTTCTTACGCTGTTAGATATGCTTAAAGTCATGAGCATAGTACAAATTTCATATTGTAAAAAAAAATATATTTTGGTTTTGAAAAACATTTTTTATCTGAGCTCTATTTGCTTTAGGAAAAATATAAACACGTCAATCTCTTTTAAACAACTTCTATAAAATGTTCCCAAAAAATCTTTTTTTTATTATTAACGGCTTTTCTTAAATTGTGGTACATGTGAATAGAGTTAACCCCTGTATTTTTGGGATACTAACCCGCTACGCAGTCCGCGCTCGGAATTCCCCCACTACCACCACCATACACCTGCAGTGCAGATGTTGCTTTTTGTTTTCGCGCGCTTTTCCATCATCTCAGTGACGAGTGACGAGTGACTGTCACACACAAGTGGCACGTGCGGTACACACCATAATCTTTTTTCACTGTGTCTTTAGTTCTATAGCTCTGTAACACTGTGTAAGTTATTTTACTTAGGACAGCTCGTTTTTTATCCGTATACCCAGAATAATGCCTAGAAAGCCGAGGCCACATAAACGAAACAAACGCTCAATAGGTGCAAGGAGATATTTAGCTAATATTAGAAATTCCATGCCTACTGCAACCTCCGTAGCAGAGACAGAAGCCACAACTACGATCCAAGAAGACACCAATGATGACATTTTTGACAGATTGCTCCTTGAGACCAGGTATGATCCAATTTCATATAATTTATGTCTATTTAATCTATAATTATAAATATTTGCCTTTGTATAATAGGGAATTATACAGTTTTTTATTCGCACTCACTGCAAATATGTTTACTCACTAATTGATTGAAACAAATGAAATGAAATGACATGAAAAAGTGCTTTTATTTACAAATAAATGTACAACAATAACTTTTACGCCACACAACATTATTTACGCCACACTACATTATTTTGACGAACTTCCCACGCAAGGATTTAGTCCAGAAAACAGCTGTTTCCCGCCAGCTTATTCAAATGGGGTTTCATTGCGTAATACTGTTCTGCAATGAGTTTTACCGGACACCAATCAGCTGATTACACTGCATTTGCGTGGCAATTAGTGGTTATAAACAAAAACCTCTCTCAGAGGTTATGATTAGTGATTTTTTGTCCTTTAGTTGGTGGAAATAAATAAGGATTTGTACGTAATAAGTAGTATGGCGTAAACTGTCGTACGTAACTCGTCCAAAATGTGTGTACCGGACTCGTATGGTAATCCCGTACTCGACTTTGTCTCGCACGGGAACGACCACACTCGTCCGGCAAACACTTATTTTCGGGACTAGTAACGTAATATACTATTTTGCACTAAATACAACAATGGACAAAAAGCCCGCCTGTTGCGGCTGGCGTACCTGGTTAGCACTTGTACAACAATTGACTAACGTTACCACTAATTGATTGCTTATTCACTAGCCTTCGCTGTCGAAAAACTGGGGGTGAATCCAGAATATTTTTTTCTAGGAAATATTATTTTTACTAAATATCATGACACTTATAATTATTACTGTGGTGCAACACAACAACTTTTATTGTCTATGTTTCGTTGAAATGTGTAATTGGCATAGAATATTCGTACCTATAAAATTGGTGTATAAAATTAATTATTCTATACTGTATATTAACTAATTATAACATATATTTCAATTAGGCTATTAACAATATGAAAAATAAATTAAATATAATAAAAAGCGTAAAAGTGTCAGAATAATAATAGGGGATATTAAAAAGAGGCTATATCAGTAGCTTTGTATTAGTGTTTTTGAACACAGATTATAAACTAGTAATTGAATTTATTGTTCTATAGGACTGAAGATAATCAACCAATTTTGAATTACAATGAAGATATCTTAGAACATGATATTGAATCAGACCCGGAACCAGACTGCAGCAAAGATGATCCGTCAAGTCTACTACAACCCCTCATTGTGGAGCCTTATTCGTCGGAAGAATTGAAAAAACTAAGGGAAAATGTAATGAGCGGTAGGAGAATGGTTGATGTTGGCCACATTTTTCGGCAACTACAAGTTATCGCTTCCCACCCTATGAAATGTACAATGGGGAAGTATGAACTGAAAAAGGAAATTAGAAGTGGATTGTTCTGCACCTGGAGTTTTTACTGTGACAACTGTGAAAAGACCTATGTAGTTACCTCATTGCCTGTTGATGAAAAACAGAACGTCAATGATGCTTTGGTATGGGGAGCAATGTCTATTGGAATCGGCTTCGCTCAATTAGAGGAACTTTTCAGCCTTTTGGACGTTCCTGTAATGTCACAGGAAAAATATATACACCACGAAAAAAAGGTTGGAGATGTAAGTATACTAGCTATAAGTTTGTACTAAACTCATATTACAGATAGCCTAAAGCAATTATCATTTGCCGGAATCTAAACATTATTCCGTCATACTGCAGCAAAACTCTATATAGTACTAAGTATCTTTTGAGTATGTTATGAGTTCATCTATAAGGGAATGAATTATTGCAGGCGTGGGAGACTATTCTGGTTCACAAAATGCAACGCAATGCTGAGGAAGAAAAAAAGATCGCACTGGAAAAGGGTAATATATTTCAAGGCAAGCCGTATATCACAGTGATTGGAGATGGAGGATGGGCAAAACGATCCTATGGCCATGGAATGAGCTCTAAAAGTGGAGTGGTAAGCTAAAATTTAACTCTGTAATTTAACTTTCCATTTAAGTTCGATACCGTGTTGTTTACTTTTATATTCTATCCCCCTATACATAGTATATGGAGAAAGTATTGTTTTCCTAAACATTTTCGAGTTTGGGTTTTGAGTGTATATGTCCATTTTGAGTAATTTTTTGGTGATTTGTTTTCAAAAGTTTTATTTTTAATTGTGATTTTCCCATAAAACCCCATAAAAAACGGAAAATCGTTTTTTTTTTAAACGACCCGAACGATTTCAATAAAAACATTGCTATGTTATAGTCCTTTAAATTCTGAACAAAATGGTAGAAATTCCATCCCTATAGAATACCATAGCTACTCCCACCGCTTACCCATGATAAAGGTTGTTTACTAGCTTATGGGAGAAAGTATGTGTCTATTCTTTGTTTGAAGTTCATTGTTGGTGATGGTGAGTTAATGTTGTTCAAAGGTTTATTGCGGACATTTTCCATCACGAAAGTAAAAAAAGTTCATGTTAACATTGTCTCACTCCAGATTTGCAACTTGAAGGCACGAAATAGTGATCGCGTAACATGCAGACAAGGTCGTATGCGCGCGAAATATGTTTGCAGCACTGGCTGTAAATCAGCTGGTCAGTTGTTGTACGTATTTGTCACAACCCTTCCGGTCACGGCAGAAGCCACCATTTCATTGATTTGCCATTTGTTTACATTGAAGGTGGTTTTGCTGTCGCAATATAAGTAATTCTTTGGTTAAAAATTCTTTAAGGCTGTTTGTGTTCATTTTTAAGGAGATTACTTTTTGTTTTATAATGTTGTTTCTGATTTAATAATGCTACTTTCACATTACAGAATTTTTAATTTATTCCACATAAGAATAACGTGGTAATTGAAAACGTACACTTTTAACATTTTAATATGCCTTG